AATATGCTCACTGAATATGTTAGAAATCAAGAAGCATTTATATCAGAATTTATGTGCTCCCAAAGATCATCAAATTCGAGTTAATGTCTCAGTTTGGTTGTCTGGGAGGCAAACTCTGCTGAGTTTGGAAGGGATCTGTAAGTTTACCCAGGGAGAACACAGTCTTATGATTCATGGGAGGTGATGTGGGTGACGTGTGTATGAAAGGAGAGTAGAAATCAGTTATTTTCTGTACTCTTTTTTTTTTTTCAGATAGCAAAGAGCACGCTTTGTGGAAACCACTTTATTTTAGGTAAGTAAAGATATCACGAAGGAGGTGGTCTGTCTTCAAATTTTCTTGCTTCTTCTGACAAGTGTTACTCCACCAAAAGTCATAGTCTGTAGAAGGCAAATAGGCATAACTGTTTATTTTCATTTGGACTTTAGGAAATGTATTTATAGCTAAGTGCCTAGAATTTCCTGTAGTTCTTGTATGAATTCGTCTTATTCCACAAGAAAATACATTTACAGTGCCTGCCTGTAAATATGAGTATAACATTCATACCAAGGAAAGTTTTTTACAGAAGCAATTCTGAAGACAGAAAGTCTAAATATAAATGCCATCATCAACTGCATTTTATCACTCTGTTTTAAGAGGTATCGTAGATACTACCAGAAAGATCTGCTTCCTGTAACAGAAATCCATGTCCCAAATAGTAATGGGTTCTTGTGCCTGGTGTTTTGCTCACTTAATGTTGGAAAAGTAGTTTGAGGTACTCAAAATGATCTTAGGAGATTTTGTATCCAAAACGTGTAACTTTAATGCTGTTAGCTGTCATTCTTGTGGAGACTGTCCAGGTGGACACTTAGAAGCCTGTTGAGCTTAACTCAAGAGAGAAAAGCTCTTTGTCAGGACTGAACAATTTAGAACTGACAAAAGGAACTTTGAAGAGCTGTAGGTGGAACGAGCGTTGTGTCATTTTTCAGGTTTGACTGAGCCTTTACTTTCTTTTCCAAGGTTATGCTGTAGATAAAGGTAAGGGTGTAGTAATCTAGAGGAATTTGTAAGGAGTCTCTGCAACATGCTCAGCAGCTAAAGCCCTTCACACTTCCAATGCCTAGAATTGGCCCTGGGGTAGTAATTAATGAAAGGATTTGTTGAGCAGGATGCATTAAATATATGAGAAATGTTTAAAGAAGAGTCATCTAAGGCATTTGGTTTTAATGAGGAACAGGAGTAATAAAGGATGCTAGTAGTATTTTCCACTGACTGTCTTTGGCTTGAAGTACTGAAGTTCTGTATCTGCACATTTAAGCACCTGTAAGGAATTCTGCAAGTAATGGCAGTTTTGTGGCTGGGATTTTTTTAAGGTATCGAGCCCCCCTCCGAAGAGCTAATCAACACAGAACAGTTTCTCTTTCAGCATTTTTCTTACTGCGCCATCATTTTCTAACACTTACCTCCACCATTTCGTTTCCTTTAACTTCTTGCTCATGAGAGAATTTGTCTGATTTGCACACCAGCTTCCCGCCTACCATGTTCACCGTACACTGTTGAAGCAGATTTAAAAAGCGTAAAAATCTTGAGATTTGGGATTCGATTAGAAGTAGTGGAGGACTACATAAACACAAAATAAGTGATACCAATGTTTTGTAATCACATCTGCTCTTTTCAGCTGGAGACCGCTGCATTTTCGTAGGAGCTTTAGAAGAAACATTTCTGTTTGTTGAAATGATAGAAGGGTGTGCTAATGGAAACAGTACGGACAAATTTCACAGAAACTGGCTTACAAGGATGACTAGAGCTGCACCCATTCCTGAGGTGTATTACCTTTAGCTTCCTGCCATCCATAGTGGTAATGTCAGCCTCTTTTCCAAGCGTAAATGAGTTAGTTACAGATTGCTTGGGTGTTTTTGATGTCACAACAAAGTCGTTTCCTTTTTGTTGTATTTCAACGATAGGCTTAATATCTCTGGCGAGTTTGATAAGGTCGTCTGGCAATGCTGTAAAAAAGACAGAAGAGGACTTTTTGTGTTATGAAGTAACGTGCTGGTATGAAATGGCAAATTGTTGTCTCTGAGTCTCCGGCTGGATTTGAGAGTATCGTCCTCAGCAGTCAAGGGATTGGTTCAGTGTCGTGGTGTCGGACTGGGCTTTGCAACTGTAACTGAGTTTTTTTGCTGAACATCACTCACATACCTTTTAAAACCCCGATGTGAATGTTTTACCCAGATTATTGAGAGGGTAAGTACGGTTTTAATAATGCTGGTACCTCCTAAGTCTACTTCTCGCAGGTTACTAAATAGGTATAACATATATTAGTCACTAGTGCTGGAGAAAGTGCCTGCACTACTACTAGCACCCTGTAAATCTGTGTGCGTCACTGAAAACTTGTTTCTAGTTAAATGTATAAAGCTCTGTGTTAATCAGAACAGGTCGATTTCTGATGTAGCTCCTCTTTCATGAGGGACTCGGCTAATGCTAAGGCAGGGATTTGGGGGTGATCTGTTACCTTTCTACGTCTATTTGTGCCATTTTCAGCTTCTTTTCATTTCCAAACTGGACGTAACAGACTTACCTGTAATTTGTCGTGCAAACAAAAGTAAAAAACCCAATGACATAGAAGTGCAGTAACAAAAGATGTCGTGCAAAGTGTGTGTTGCAATCCGAGCAGATTGTTTCGAAAGTAACTAGACGCTTACCAAGAGCTTTCAGAAACTCTTCGTAGTTCTCCTGAGCGTAGACCTGCCAGGTTCCGTTGAATGCCATGGTGGAGGTTGCAGCGCGGGTGAGGGCGGTGATGCTAGCAGGAAATCGAGGGCTCTCCCTGGGCACTCAGATGCTATTTATGGAAAGGGAAAGGCCAGCCCAAACTGTGAGATGAGTGGCTAATTATTAACCGTGAGGTAACAATCGTTAATCATTTATTTGTCCTTAATGATCATAACCTCTAGTTCATTCTGCTTTGTAGAAAGTTTTACCTTGACCAGCTGGTTTGGGATGTTATGTTTGTTGTGGGTTACTGAACTCTGGTAATTATTCCTAATTATTGTATAGTGTTGCATAGTTTAATTTGTTTTCTCTTTGTTTACAACTTCTGTGTTCAATACGTTTTTCCATGCTTTGGATAGAATCCTTCAGATGAAACTGCGTAATTTAGAATGGATGTGAGGTAATTACTGTCTTAAAGCAGGAATCTCCTAATTATCACACTGTTCTCTACTGTGGGCGCTTAAACCTTAAATGATGGGAATAAAGTTCGTGGCTTTCTCCCAAAGTTTCAGGCTTCCAATTGCGTGAGGTCAGGGAAAATCGTGCTGGAGTGGGACAGTCGGTTATGACTTCATCCAGCAGATGTCAGTAATGTGCATCTAAATCTATTCACTTTAGTCTTTCTTATTTTTAAATAATCACTGCGTACATGGAAGATTAAAGGTAGAATAAAACATGGAACACTGCTTGGAGACTGAACTGAGAGAAGTAAATAGGGTGTGTTATTTTTCTTCTCACCAGTTGCACTGAGAGTTCCACACTCACTAGAGCTATTCAGTGATATTCCTTGCTGTCCGTGCAAGCCTGACTGTTGATTTTGGAAGACATTCATTAGACTGTGAGTCTTGCAGTTATATTGCTTAAGTCAAACAGAGCCTGTATCCTAGGGGTAGGTGACCTTTCTAAGTTAACTTTTATTACTCCATACTGGTCAGTAATTCTTCTATTTAAATAGAAAACAGATGCTGAACTTTTTTCCTACAAATTCACAACTTTTTTGGGTTTAGTATGTGCTTTTAAAGGAAATTCATTTCCAAAGAGCCAATTCTGTAATTGCACTTAGGTGGGATAATACCTGAGCAGCAAGGACGAGCTTCTGATGATGGATAAGGCCGTGTTTCTGTGTGGGGTGTAGCACACAAGGCTCCAAAAGGTGTGTGTTTGTAGCGGAGTTATTCTAGGACGTGATTCATCTGTTTTGCCACGGAGTAGTGTTAATGATGCCATCCCCAGAGCCTGCTTTTCTCCGTTCACAGTAAGATGAATCTAGACAGTTAGCTAAGCTCTCACTTGTTAATAGTATTCAATTTAATATATAAATTTAAGTAACGTCTGAAATGTAATTGCCTTTGGTCAAATGTTTGGTAATCCTGTAGGGGATTGCTGTGCCCATTTATGTTGACATTGGAACAGCAGCGTCCCTCAAATGATCGGGAGAAATCCTGCTGTGGTGTGGACAGTTTATCAAAGTTTGCGGAGCAAGGCAAGATGCCGTTTCTCTGAATAAATGCATTAGCTGGATGGCCGTGTGAGGAGTACAATCACTTTTTTATCTTTCACTGACAAATTACACTGGTAGAAGCTGGGAGTGTAGCTGTGGCTTCGGAGGAGTTGAGAGGCCACACTTTTTTCTACATCCAGAATAATCTAATGTAACTTATAGACCTCAAGATCTCTCCAATTCTGAAGAATACAGACGTCCAGTAGGATGGAAGGATCTGAGTCCTCTTCTGTGGACTTTCAGTCAGCCCTCTTGTGTATTCCTGCTTGGCAGCGTATGCAGAGAAGCTGAATGTGTTCCTCTGTAAAGAGCCAAGCCTTCAAAACGTCACTGCTTCCTTTTCTCCCCGTATGGCTAGGGTTTGGAAAGGTGCTTACCTCAGGGCCCTGGCTGGGCACGGTGCTCGGGGAAATTCCTCACTTAGGGAAGTTCCTAGTTTCCTGTACACACGCAGGCCGACTGATTTCAAGACGGAGGTACTTGACACTGACGTGTCACCAAGGGTAAAAGTTTAATAATACACACACACACACAAATGTTTGTGAGCTGCAAGACTATCAGTAGCGCGTAGTGATTTAATACGAAGGAAAACAACTCCACTGGAAGTTTGGTTCTCGTTTGTGAATCCTCTGGCATTTCCCACCCAGGTTTACTAGGAAAGAGTTCCTCTGTGAGGTGAGCCTGCACGTGTATGTACGTGTGCGCACACACACAGCTTGGTGTCTATCAACTACCAAAATAAAACCACTAAAATGCTGCTAAAATGAAAATAGAAACATGAGCCTGAATTTTAGGGCAGAGACACTGAAAGGAATCCGAGAGTTAAATTCCTTTTAAATTCGGTGAGACGTAATTGACTAATTCATTTTGTTTTTTTCATTATAATCCCACCTGGGACCTCCTCTTCCATTCCTGCAGGTAGCTCTCCATGCTTATAGACACTGATAGTGACCTGCCCTGTTTCAGAACCGTACTTATTCTTGACATAGACGCTGTATTTTCCTGTGTCTTCGTTGCAGACTTTCTGTATAGTAATTGTGACAACTGTCCCCTTCACATCCATTTTGTAACGATCTTTGAAGACGATGACCTTCTCGTTTTTGAACCAAGTGATTTCTGGGTAAGGATCTCCAGATATACAGCAAGTTAAACACAGGGTCTGTTGTCAAACAGATAACAGAAATAGATTATGAAGAGCTAAACAAGCAAGGAAATTCAGTTGATGAGAAATTAAGAAAAATAAAAAAAATTTCTCTTAGATTTTTATTAGGTAAGATTCCAGGACTGCCCCTCCTTTTCCTGATATCCTCTAGTATAATCAGGATTAACCCGTCTGAATTCACTGGGCCTGACTCACATTTGTTCTTCTGTCTTTTTATAGCTTTCTTGCACTGTACAGTGATGCTTAAATGGGCACGTGGTGAATTTGCAGCTACCTTACAGGATTTTTGTTGTAGCTGTGTACCAGCAAAGGGGAATATGGCTCAGAAATGTAAGCAGCAAGTTGATAATGATGGGAAAATCAGGTCCAGCACTTAAAAGCCTTCGTCTAGTCTTATACAGTGGTAAGATGAAAGAAAGGGTCTGGCCTGGGAGCAGACCTAGGAAGCAGGAGCGGCAGGAACCTGCAGAAGGCGGCCCCGTGCTACAGGGAGCACCTGGATGTGCAGGAGCATGTGCGTGTGTGGAAGCGCCATCGCCAGTACGGGGAGCTGAGATGCGTGTTTTGGGGGGCACCACTTCCCACCTTTGGCAGCTGAGGTAGCTCAGAAAAGCTCCTGGCAGCGTGCAGGAGGGGAAGACAAGCAGTTTTCTTCCCAGCAGTTAATTTTAATACGTCTGTACAAGGGCCAGTTACTCAATGTTACCTTGCCCTCCATGATGGTGGCAACATCTGGCAGACCTTGAACAACTCTGGCACGACCTGGGAATGCACAAATACGACCTTTTAGTTTTACTTATCAGCATGCCACTTCGCTTGGTTTCACAGAAGGAAGGAAATTAATTTACTTACGCTTTTCTGCTATTGCTGCTTCCCTGAAAGTGAGAGAGAGGAAATTAGAGTGATTTTATATTTTAGACACTGTATCCTGGATACAGAATACGACACTCAAAACAGATTTAGCTGTGAAAATACTTAGGCAGGAACTTACTTTAGCCTTCGGTGCTCAGCCAGGGCATCTTCAAAGACTGCAAGGAGTGAAAAGGTTTTAGGGAAAGTTGCCATTTATTTCATTTGACTTAGAGGATTTAACGTAATGTGTCAGCATTGGAATTACAGGTATTTGTGCACATAGATGTGTGTAATTGTTGTCTAGCCAGTATGTACACCTGCCTTAAGGAAATATGACTCTATTTAAGTACTACTACAATAAGTGGGATCCAGTGTTCCCTTTCCAAAGAGAAGTGCACAGCACAGCATAAAAAAATGGAAAAGTGTTGGTAAGCCCGAAGCCACATTCTCTTTTCCAAGGTGCCATCTTTAGGCTCTGCTGGAGGAACCAGGCACATCCCAGGAGCAGCTGCTGTCCCACTCATCCCTTCCCCAGGAGCACCTTACGCGGTGACGGCAAAGCGCCCTACAGGCTTCAGTCCTTTCTGCTGCGCGCTTCACCTCTCCCTGTGTTTCCTCTGACTCTGGTGGCCCCTCACTCTCTTTTTAACCCAGCTTCACCACGTGCCGTCATGGAAATGCGGCTCCAGCTCATACAGAGGAGAGAGGAAGCGCCGCCCATGATTTAAAGGAATCTTGGAAAGCAGCTCAGGTATATCTCATTCCTGTGATGGTATTTGACGCAGCTTACCTTGTCCAGACAAGTCAGTTGCCAGTTTGTGAGACTTGTTGCCATCAAACAACTCCAGGGTGTATTTTCCCTTATCTGCCTCTGTCGGGTTCAGTATGTGCAGCCACACCTGATTCATCGTGCTCCCAGCTTTCAGTCTGTCACGGCTTTCCAGTTGTTTCTCTCTAAGTAAACAAATTATATCATTTCAGTAGTATTTAGCAGAGGTGTGTAAGTTAGAGCGCTGACTTTTTGTAGATCTAAACTGGTTAGAATGAGAGAATGGAAGTCGGGACCTCACTGGTAGTTTCATGGAGAGCTGTGTGCTCAGTCACTTTTGAAAATCTCCTGGGGCATCTGGCTGTGCCTTCAGGCAGTTTGCCAAAGCTCTACAAACTCTGCAAAAGACTTCTTAGTTCTTATTTAGGAGACTAAATTAGGTTTAGATGCTGAATTTTTCTAAGCACTTAGCCCTTAAACGTTATTAAAAATCAGCCTCCTTATATACGTGTGTAGGTGGTATCTAATAAAACACCATTTCTCTATTTTATGAGGATATTATGAGGCTAAATTAGCCAGTGTTTGGAAATAATTTTATACTGTTTGGGAATATTTATTACTCATAGTGGTTTAGGGAAGTAGTAGAAATAAAGAATTGGAAAAATACAACAACTTTTTTTTGGTCTGCAACCAAAGTGGCTGTAACAGAGCGGTACCTTAAGTGCATCATTATTATTCTAGTAAAGGTGATCACTTACAAATATTTCTGCAGTGCCAAGAAAACAACAGCTTGGCTGCTTATTTTGGAATTCCCAGGCATGTTTCAGGACAGAGAGTGAATGTGTTTTTCAGCCCTTACTTGGGCAAATCTACCATTGCCTTAAAAAGCTGCAGGCTCAAGCTCAGTTAATCAATGTTGAATTTTTGCGATAAACAGTTATAAGCGACAGTACTCCAGAAGCCTTGCAAATATCTTATGGGGACTTACTTGTGATACCAAGTTGTTTTCATGTAGTCTGTGTAGTACTTCACGTCTGTGTAGATTTTGATGCCTTCTTCAGTAGGCTGAATTTTGAGAGGGGTCGCAGAAAGAGCTAAAAGTGTAATTGAAAGGCTGAAATTGAGGAGGATGCTCAAGAGCGCACAATTTTACATGTTGCGCAAACAAAACCCCCAAGGGACCTATCAACGTTTCTCTCTGGAGAGTGTGGCTGACTGAAAGCAGGATGCTATTTGGCCCCTTGAAGACCCCGTGTCTTTTAGCCAGCAGCCAGTAGAAGAATGTCAGCACCTCTTCTAGAGGCCTGAGTCTGGAATCCACATCTGCACCGAAATTGCACAACTTGGCCAAATTCACGTCACAAGTGATGTGGTGAGGAGCAGGCTGCTGGCATGGAAAGGTCGCAGGATTCATTTGGAAGTGGGGAGGGGTTTATATTCCTGGATTTATTTAGTGACTACCCTCCTTGACAGTTTGGAGGTGCTTCTAACGCCAGAGGAGTGGCAGATGTGGGGGGTTGTACCCAGGGCAGGTGCTGAGCTTTCTCTGACGGTCGCACCCCACCTTTCCGCCCTTCTCTGAGTACTGGGTCAGCTGACGGGGCAGTGACGTACCACTGATCCTGCACAGCTCCTTGAGAAGGTCTTCAAAGGCTGCAAAGACAAAAAGACTGTCTATAAATACAGTTATTAGCAAATAACATCTGATCTACCAGCTTGATTCGGTTATATTTAGAATGCATTATAATCTAGCAGTTACTGGTCTTTTTCTGTTGCAAAGCTTACTCAGAATGGATTTTTTTGCCACTGACTCATTTATTTTTAGATGCTGGGCATTTCTTGCTAAATTTAGATGCTTCTATCTTCCTTAGCACTCAACATGTGCAACAGACTGCCTCGCAGAAAGCAGATTTATGTATCAGGTTTGAATGATGGATTCCAGATGTCGAGGTGGGATTTAATCTTGGGAAGCAGAATATTCTGATTGATGCTGAGCTGGAGTAACCGAAACGTTACTGAGCTTTTAACTGTGGTGCTTGACAGAATTTAGAATGCAGTCACAGCTTGATAAATGACTGTATATGTAAATGACATTAGAATGTCAGAACTGCATATTTGGTTTTCAATTTGCAGAGCACATTCCAAAAGCTGAAAAGTGAAGCAGGAATCTGCAGTAACACAGAATTCTTCTTCTGCTTGATGTTGTCTTTGACAACGACTCTGTTGTTTTTCACTGGTGAGGGATGCAGAGTGGAAGTGAAAGCTTATTCTCCTGACACTTCGGAGGACTGGCTGAACTTCCAGGAATGAAGAGTTGTCTGTTGATTATCAAATGAGGTACAGTATGAACGGATGCAAAAAAAAAAAAAAGCTCCGAGAGCCGATATAAAGGAGACTTTTATTCTGTTCTCTATAACTCTTGCAGAATAAGAGAAAAGGTGCATTTTATTACTTCAATCTCACGTGAAAATACTTTTAAGATGATCAGCAGATATATATGCTATGGTAGATCAAGAAACTTTAAATTTGACCAGTAACTTTTTATGGCAGATTTTAATCCCTGTGCAGGCGTGCAGATACTATGGTAATTAATGATGTGGTTGAAAGTTACAACATTTGTTTTCAAATCCAAACTTAATCCCAGGCAGGAGGTGAATGTCCATTATTGCCTGACACAAGGTTCTCTTACCTCCTCTTGTGAGATCAAGTTGAGTGCTGTCTTCTCCTCGGTCATCTGAAACAAGGGCCTTGTATTGGCCCTCATCTGCTTTGGTTATCTAGCAAATACAGATGTACGTATGTAATATTTGTTAAAAAAACCCCCTCAACAAAATCCAAACCCTTGTATCCATCCCCCCAACAGAAATTTCACGTATCATTGAAATGGGGCAGGATTTGGAAAAGGGGGAAAATGTGTCTGAGTTGATTTATTTTTCTCACCTTTTTAATACAAAGAGTTCCTATCCCAGTCTGGGGGTCAAACACGCCACCTGCTCGTGCTTTCTTATTGAAGAACCATTGGAAGCTGGTGTCCTTTCTCAGGTTTGTTGCCTGTTTGAAGTCAACATTTAGAAGTCAGTGTCCCAAATGATTTTTATTTCTGAATGCCCGGATGTCCTTCTGATATGAGACATCACTTGTGTTAGAGGATTGCAGAATCTTAGAAACTTCCTTCTTTATTAAAATTTCTGCCCAAGATAGACTGTCTCTTAACTTTCCTTGGTCTGCAGATCAACATTTGGATGAGCACTGGTCATGCCCTTCCCCTAAAATTCACCTCTAAAATTTAACGGTGAATTCAGACCGGGCAGTTGCATCCCGTAGCTGTACGCACCTTGCAGGTGAGGAGCACTTCACAGTTCTCAGTAACCTTCCATTTCAAGTTCTCTATAAAATGTGGACCTGTAAAAGAAAATCCATCTCTGTCGCGATGCATTTCTGCAGCTCTCCAGTGTTACCTGCAGAAATGCCTCCATCTAGAGGTGAATCTCCACAGTGCAGAGAATTAGGGAATGCTTCACCTTGCCCAGCTTTGCGGGCAATAGGAGCCGCAGTTCGGAGCCTATAGTTAGTGTGGGGTTCAGTACCGTATCTTTGCTGAGGAATCCTGTCTCAAAATGCAGTTAGAGATGCTGCCTAACCAGTCCTTTGTGACTCTGCTTTGCATCAAGTCAGACAGATAAACTCTTTATTTGTGTTGAAGAACAGAGCAGAGTATCTTAAAACAAGGGATCTTACCATAGTGTATTACTCAGCTTAAATAATACGGTTTAAAATTACAGTAAAGAAAAGAATTCATAGCAGTGAAATAGCTTTGCTCAGGTTTTGCCATCCTGTTGTCACAGTTCTGGCAAGTCATCAACTTTCAACTTATCTTACCCTGCTTTTTCTTCCATTCTCTCCGTTTCGCGTCGGCCTCCTCTGCAACTTTGGCAAAGCCTGTGAGAACAGCAACGGTCAGGAAATCCCCCAGTATTTCTCAGTGTAACACTTTAGAATTTTCTGATCGTGAAAGGTGTTCTCATTAGAGCTGTGACACTTGTTTATAAGACATCTCTCGTGCGTGAGTGACCTCTGTCCAGGGTTCTCAGTGGGGACCAGATTAGTGCCATCATTCTTTCATCATACTGGTTGCTGCCTTCACTTTATCTATTTCTACTCCCTTTCTTGTCAGTAAAGAGAAATGGGCATTTCTAGAGCACAGTGCATCAAACTTATTTATATCCTGCATTTAGCTTGTGTGGAATCACTCTGTAAAACTGCCCCTTTCTCTCCACCAGTTGTAAAGGGTGTCAAGTAGACTTGACATTTTGTAGACGCTTTCCATTCAAAACGTTTAGAAGCTTTAGAAGGTCACTTGAAAGCAAACTGCAAGAACTGAAAGTAGAGGTGGGCACTCTATGGGGAAGTATTTGAATAAAAATCTTGTTACTTTCTATTTTAAAGTAATTACAAAGGCCCTCTGTGCTAGCATATACAAGGACATTGTGTGTTTCGTGTTGAGCTTTCTCTGTTGCTTGGGCTTGCCCTCAAGCGCAGTTGACACTGGTTTCTGTATTGCAGTTAGCTGAATGCAATGAACCACCTGTTAAATACACTGAATTTTCACCCCGATCCTCTTTTGAGATAAATGAGTACATACAGTAACACGTCATATGGTTTGCTGCCAAGAAGTTTGCCATAGCAAGAAAATATGTAAAACATTTGGAAAAAAAAAAAATCTCTAAGTATTCCACTGGATTTTTTGCTTTAGGAGACCATTTTTATCGTCAAGGGCCCTATTGATAAGACCAAAAGCTTCAATTTATGTTGAAGAGAAATTCAGATAATTTCTTACATGATTCCTGGACTTGAAATGTGTGCTGTAATAAATACTTGTTCTCCCCGTTCCCGGTGTGCCATTGTAACTGTCAGAAATACTTTGGGGCCTTAAGTGCCTAGAAAACTTTCCACTGAGCGTGACAGTCTATATTTGATCCCGAATTTCCACTTACATTCATCCACAAGAGCCAGGGTGAATTGATTTTTAGCTTTTCCATCCTGCAGCTGGGCTGTGTACATCCCTTTATCATCGTCGCAGAAATTCTGGATTATCAGTTCTACGAGACCTTTTCCTCTGACGAAGTTTATTTTATGTGTCTGTGTAAAACAAAGGAAAGGGGATAAATTGAGTAGTGTTCCCCCAGTGGAGCTGTTCCAAGGTTAGATCCTGGCACAGAATCTTCTGCAACGCTCCGACGTCACAGCCCTTTTCGATACACGGCCTTAGGTGCGTCTCTCTTTTTAGAGCTGTAATGAGGCAGTGCCCTCGGATATTCTGTATTCTGGGATTCATCTATTGTTTGTTCACGGACGTAGGTACAGTAGAATTGCTTACAGCGAATTTTTCTCTGGGAGAAAGTTTCTGTTAAAACCACATGATGCAGCCCTTGTTGGCTGTTCCAGATTCCTCAATTTACCAGAACCTGTAGGATTTTTAGTGTAGTACAAGTGTTGCACTTCATCGCACATCTCTGCTGTGCAATTGCATATTTGGGCGACAAGGAGTGATATTGCTGCTTTCTTGACCTGGTGCAAGCACTGCTGGACCTTTTAAACCTACACCCCGAAACCTGTCAGAGGTTCAAACATAAAACATCATCATTACATCTTCCTGCCTTGTTTGCTCAAAGCAAATATTATCATTACAAGGAGCTTGACAAATACTTCGTAATCCTGCGTAACCGTGTCAGTTCTCCAGTGCAGAAAAAGCAGTTCTTAGAATAGACAAAGCCTGCAATAAATCTGCTACACGTTGCTTTAAAAAAGCCCCAACATTGTAGTAACGGCTCTGAAATTCTCTGGCTTGGGCCTGTCCCTTTGTTGTATCTGTTCTTTCTGTTAATCTTGGCATCGCCACGCTGCATTTAACTGACAGGCCAGTGATTTATAGCCTTCTTCATTCTCACCCGTTCTCCCCTCTGGTCCTGTCATTCCACATACTTTTTAAATGTTACAATATTAACTTGATATGGGAAGACAAGAAAGAGACTAGAACATTTTTAAAGCATGCCAGGAGGTTGGAGTTCACTGTTACACATGGTGCAGTGTTATTTCCAGTGTCTTAGACCGAGAAATAAATCACTTTCATCTGCTCTTAGAATTCGTGCGCTTTATCTGTATTTAATTCAAAGAGGTGGGGTCGAAAGCTTGACCATTTGCTTGGTAGAGCAGAAGAAAAATGTCCTGTTTCATCGTGGGAGATGGTATTTCTTTAGCATCCACTGAAATGAGCTGTGTTTCATTTGCGTTCATCCAAGACAAAGCTCTCTGTCCTGCCCAGGTGCGTTTGTAGTAGCTGAGGAATTACACATGGCTGAGGTTTCCTGTCAGAAAATTCCCTTACAAAAGGGAACTCTGCTGTGGCCAGATCGTCAGGGGCAGGCTCTCGGGAAAACGGGATAAGGAGGAGACGTTCCCTGAGTGCTGCCCCTGCAGAGGTTGCTGGCCGTAGCACTGAGGAATCCCCGTCTCTAACAGCATCGGTGCTGCAGCCTGGCTTCATACTCGGACAGGACAGCTTGAGAATCACTTTGGCTTTCTGCTTATGCACACTGGAAAACCAAGCCTTGGAGTCTTCCAAAAACACACCTCAAAATAGCTGGTGGGAATTTAGAAAACTATGAATGGACCTGTTTGCTCTATCGTCATGTTCAGCAGTGGGAAATGAAGTCAGAATTGAAGCCAAACCAAACCGTACTGGAGTACTCGTAAGCTCCTTGTCATTGAAGATTAAACGCAGCTCTGCATTTGGTGACAGCTTTTCAACCTCCAGCCACAGCCGCACTTCTCCTTTCTCCAGAACATCAACGTTCCATCCGGAGATCAGCTTGATCACTGCAAAACAGAGAGAGCCATGGCGGGGAGTTCACGGGCAGACGCCAACGTCTGGCTCAGCCAGACACAGGTGGTTGGTGGCTTCTTCCTGCTTCAACTTACGTGGGTTCCTGATTTCATGGCTCTGTTTCAATAACTTATCCAGATCTGAAATGCAAGGAGTAACAAGTCATTAGATTAGTACAATTAGGCCAAAACTAATTAATTGTATCAATTTAATTTGCTTTCTTGATGAACTTTGTTTCTGTCAAGAAGAAGGAAATAAGTACAAAACATTTGATAGCAGGGAGGACCAGAAAAGGTTGTGAAGATCATTCTTAGTTATGTCTGAACAAAATGGTGGTTGTGTCAGTCCAAGAAACATATTAAAAGAAGTTTTAAATCACTGGGACAGGGTAGCTGTGTGTGAAGTCGGTACTGTAATGGAAAAATCATTTCCCGGGAGCCTGGAATCTTTTCTTAGGGGCTGTAAAAGAAACTGCCCTTGAGCCTTCAGGGAATTGGAAACATGCCCCTATTATTAAATGTCAGTCACTTACTGTTCCTCTACACTAAATTTTCCTCTAAACATCTAGTATTAGAAATTTATGGCACGTTAAACTTTTGTTCTTGTAAATTTTTAGTTTTTACCTTCTTTTGTTAAAGCGCGGCTGGCAGAGATATCGTCATCTACATCCGTGACCTCCACTGAATATATACCCAGATCCTTTTCTGATGGGTATTTCAGTATAAGCTTAGACCTTAGAAATAAAAAAAATAATAATTAATTGTATTTTCCTGAAAAGTTACACCTCCTGTAACAGAATGCAGTACATTTAATACACTCAGAACTGTAAGCGTAGTGCTCAGCATCATTTAGATGTGATGCTGAGGAGCAAGGGAACACCCTCAGCAACGTGACGGCTGATGCGTCCCCTTTGTGCCGTGAGGATTGCCCGGAATGCGCCGCTGAGAGTCGGAGATCTGCAGGTCCCTAGTGTGTAGGTGTTTTAGCTGAGTATCGGAAGGAGAGGGAAACAGTTGGCTTCCCTTTTTCCTCAGTGTTTAATGTGTCCTTTATTCAACAGCCCACAGTTAATATCCTCAGTGTGTATTATGTACTCACTTATTGCCTTTCTCTTTGCTCTCAACTCTGTCAGCATCGGGTGGTCCTTCATAGTCCTTTGACCAGATAAATTCAGAGTCGTCATTCCTTTCAGGAGCTTCAAAGGCCATATATATGAAACCCTCTTCATCGACCCCAAGTTCAATTTCATTGGTGCCTGTAGGAGCAAAAAAGCCACAAAACATTCCTTTACAAAACAGATCAGGGCTTGGCTTCCAGACATCGAACAAAAAAAGACAGAGTGTCTGGCTAGCATAAATTAACTTGGGTGGTTTGATCTGCTAATCTTTATTTTGGCTGAGGTTTTTTCTTGCTATGAGACATGTAGCTGATGTTCCATAAAACATTTTTTTTACAGGAACCATCATAGTACTTACAGACTTGCACAATGTTTTAACTTCTAGTTTCGTACCGGGTTTGGTTTTAGCCACCACAGGATCTGAGGGAAGTGAAGGGGGGCCGATTCCAGCCTTGTTCCGTGCTCTTACTCGGAAAATATAGGATTTCCCTGTCTCCAGATCTGAAACCTGCAGGAAACAGTGACAGAACGTAATGTAAGGCTAAACAAGAAGCAACACCTGAGATACGAAGTGCGTACACAGACCTTCATGTGGGTGGTGGCTATGGGATGCTTATTTATTTGTTTCCATTCCTCTGACCCTTCTTCGCAGACGTCCACGTGATACCCTGTGACGGGTCCTGCCCCCGTGTACAGCGGGGCTTCCCAGTGCAGCTGCACAGACGAGTCTCTTACTTCGGTGCACTTGACGTCGTAAGGAGGACCTGTTCGAAGGAGGGCGTGCTGTCAGGCAGGAACATCAGAAAATGCAGCTGGGTGCACTTGGTGATCAGAAAGCAGAGTTTTAAGGTGACAGGTGAATAGTGGGTCTGTAGGAGATGCTCTCTCTGCTAATTAACTGTAGAGGTAGGTTCCAGATAAAAGCACACATGAGCTGGTTTGATGTTATTTGCTTTGAAGCGATACACAAAGACATTAAAATGTTTGGTCCAGATTCTTAATTCTCTGGAAGCAATATTAGTAAAAGTATCTGGGTGCTGTTATCTGTGTAATGCAGAAATAACACCCTGCATCTGAATCAGAACTTCCTTACGAGTGTTTGGGTGCTTTTCTGTACGGGGAGCTAGGTTCCGCAGGAGCGAGGAGATCGTTAATATACCTGGTAATATTTTCTGGCTGTTGTTTTTACGCGAGAGATACCTGGTTCTGGCATTGTCCATTCCTCACATCTGAACAAGTCACTGGGCTCAGATACTTCCCCCACACCGGCCGCGTTCACCGCACGGGCACGGAACTCGTACAGGTGACCTTCCTCAAGATTGCTGACCTTGGGGTTCAGAAGTACAAACGTTATTACTAGAGCCCTGCGTGCTTGGAGTCTTGAGAGGGTAGGAAGAGAATTCTAGACTAGAAGAAGTAGAGGAAAACCAGCTCAACCCTCGTTATACCGACATTTCGTGCTGTGCTTAAAGGAGGGCTGTGTTACGTCTGAAATGGATACCGTGTAAACTCGCTGAGGAATTGGCCGAATATTGACTTCGTGCCAGTCTAGTTCAGCTGTATCGTGCTGATCGAGGAAATAACCCAGAATCTTAGTTCCTCCTTTGCGCTTCGGGGCTTTCCAGCCGATGGTCATGTTGGTCTTCCCACAGTTTAGAAGAACAAACCCGTGTGGTGCCGACGGACAAGCTGCGTGGGAAAGGGAGAGAGAAATCAGGGTGTTGTGCAGTGCAGGTTTGGGATCTAGGGATTGGGAAAAGAGGTGGAGGTATGGGATGAACTGGGCTGAGGAAATTTCTGTGTGCCCGTACGAGGTGTGATTCTAGTTGTGCTAATACCACTTTTGCAGTGTAAAACTGTTAGAAAATGAGCAGATTCTCCTTTGAACGCCATAGCGAAAGTCACAGATGTGTCTCAAGATGTTTCTTGCGTGTTGCTTTATGGTTTAGCTGAGAGAAAAGGTGGAAGCAGCGGGTCAATAAAATGGAAGAGATGAAGGGTTGGATACTGGCTAATGTGGTTGGTGGGATTTTGTAATTGCCCCGGAGAAGCGGATTTCAAGATACCAGCTGAGCACTTAAAATGGTCACTTGTACAATCGCCAAATTAATGCTGAAAATGTAACGCGCTGCTCAGTCAAAACACTAATTAACTCTGCCCACCCTTGACAAGTCTAATTGATGACAGAAGCTGCAGGGTGCGAGAAAATCCGTTCCCTTTTGCTTGGCCGTGCTTATCTGCTCCAGATTATTGCCGTTACGTGTAATAATAGCTGTGTGTGATAGATACATTCCTTGAGGGGTTTCATTGTTGTGTGGCTGCACGTGTCTATGGTGCTACTTACCAATAGCTGCTCTGACGACGACAGGATCTGTTTCTGGTGAGCTTTCACTCAGTCCTGCCTCGCTGACAGATTTCACACAAAAGACATATTCTTTTCCAGGCTGCAGCCCAGGAACAGTAAATCTAAGAAAGCAAATTAACGCATTTGTGTTTGGCTGTTCAAAGGACAGGTAAACAGTCTTTTGGACAGACAGCAATACATTTTAATAGGGCTTTGTTACTTACAAACTCATTATTTGTCATTGCAAATTAAAGTGCACTCTGTCACATAAAATAAATCAGACTCAGTAGAGATCAGATAGCGAGGTGCCACGCTGCTGGCGGCCATTGTTGGTGGAATAAATAGGACTTTTTAATGGACTTTTTCTACTTGATGGGTGCCTCCCCCAGCTGGAGAGGTGTTCTAAATCCTGTGTGTGAGTGACACCAACCTACGCTACCGAGAAGCACGGAGAAAAGTGGAATGTGGTTCTGCTGGTGCCACAAGGCCTCTCCACCTTCTGCAGATCCAGAGCCTGTGAAGGTGCGCACAGGCTTTGGCGTCAGCCCGGCTTTGGGTGTAAAAGTGAGACTTTGAGCAATGCTTAGTTCTGAAAGAGGACGTGGGGTTTGGGTGCCTGCAAACCCATGGGTTTTCTGTCTGAAATATGACTCCAGCTATGAACAAAAGAATCCAAGTTGGCGCCCTTGCTTCTTGCAGTGGAGCACAATAGCTGAACTCACTCGTTACACGCCACGGGCTTGTTATTGACAGTTTGCCATTCTTCGGTCCCGGTCTCCCGACAGTATATGTAGTAGCCAAGAGGCTCCAGACCATCCTTTAACTTATCCCATTGCAGAAAAACAGATGTCTTGGTGTCTCTGAAAGCTAAAACCTGAGATGGTGGAGGTAGAGTAGCTAAAAAAAAAGAAAAAAAAATAGAGAAAAATAGGGGGGTTAACAATTTATAAATTAAAAAAAAAAATCATGACTTGGCCAGTTTGATTTATTCTCCTTTTTCAGAGCAACATTTTCAAACCAGAGCAAAATACCATGGAATTGTCCCAGCCTACAGCCCGTATTTTTAGGTTTGAATTTGCTGTATCTCGCATTCCTCTCCCTTACAGCCCATGATTTCAGCAGTTACACCTACTTGACCTTCTCTGAAGTAGAGGAGAAATGAGACTCGTATATACTTCTCACTAACTCTGCTGTGAAACAAGATGTGCTTCACTCTTGAGGAAAAAGGACAGTCTGAATGAACACTAGGGCAGCTTTAACATGGGGGAAGATAAAAAAACGTAGAAGAAAGAATGAGTGCTCGTCTCTGCATAATGGAAAGAGGAGCGTGAGCCTTTGCCTCTCTCGCTGTTGTACTAGCTCGCTCGGGGAAGAAAACAAACCCACCCCACGCTGCGACAGCCGCTGCTCTGTCTGAAGCCCCCGAGCCAGGCTGTGGCCGCGGCCGCATCATTCCTTCCCACTGGTCTGCGTAACCTCTCGGTGACAGTGCTGGAAGCATACTTGGATTAAGCACAGGCTTTGGCTGTTTCTTATTTTATTAAATGTAATTCCTCCACCGTTGCTTGGGCAGATTTACACTGCACTGATCACAACTGCAAAGTAATTAAAGAAGGATTTCAGGCTTTAAGAGATTTCCTGATATCAAAGCAACTGCTGTGTAATCACATACCATGAAGTATCTTTATGGGGAACCCACTTGTTACTTTCCTAGTACATCTCCTTTTCCATATCATTAGTGTAGAGCGTATTAATGACATAATTACCCAGTTTTGCTCCAGCAGTTACTGGCTCGCTGGGCAGGGATGGCTCACTGATTCCGTACTTGTTCGCAGATCGCACGCGGAAGCGATATGATTTTCCTTTCACGAGATCAAAGAGTGCAAATCTTGGGGAATTAACTGGCCTGTCCGGATTCACCATTTGCCAGGAGTTGCTGCCTACCATCGCCTGTAACAAAAAAGGTGGTGATTTACAACTCACGTTGTAACTCCGTTTTAAAACACCCCTGAGCTGGTCTTTATAGAAAAGCAGTTAAATAGGAAAAAAACCAACCAACCAACCAACCAACAAAACCACAAAACTACCTAAACCAAAAAGGTAAATGATATGTTTGTTGTTGATGTACCCAAACTTTTCTTCCTTTGCAGCAGGAAAACAGCAGGTCACAAATGAATACGTATGGGAGGAGATTGGCAGAAGATACTAATTAACCGGCAAAATGATTAGTGGGGACCAGGAAAGTGAGCTGTTGTGCAGTTCTTCACAGCTTTTCCACACTGAGGGGCCCACAGGGAAGGAACAGGCTACCTGTTAAAATTCTGCTACTATTCTGTGGTGTAAAACTTATTTATTTGTTGTTAATCATTATTGCTGCGATTGGTGTCAGGAGTGAGGATCAGAGCTCAAGCAAACCGTGGAGCTGGTGAGAGGCTGGGCAAGCGGTTTTTTGGGGCTGTAGCTCTCAGGTTATCAACACCGTGAGTAGCCTTACCTGTGCTAGAGACCGTCCGAGGAGTAAGTGATTCTGTTCTGCCGTTTCCCTTCTGTGAGGTGTTATTTTCTTACCTGTTCCACATAATAGCTCAGTGGCTCTCTGCCTCTTGGATCTGGCTCATCCCAGGCCAAAGCCACGTAATCTTCTCTGACCTCACTTGCGTGAACATTGGTGGGTGGCAGGGGAATTTTGATATCTCCTGTGGGAGTCGGAACAGGCTACGCTTTAGTTACAGCATGGCAGGAAAAAACCTTATGTTACAGTGAATTATGTTTTCCCACTATAAAGTAAGTTTCTTGGGTATAAAGGAGGAGATGAAAACCCTTTGTGGACATAGAGGCAAACCAAGATTATTAGAAAAGGCTGTTTAGGAGAGTTTCTGATCCTTGTGCAGCTGAAAAGGGATGTTTCACCGTGTATGTTCCAAAGTGTGTTTTCCCCGGAGTCCTGTTACTATAGATCTCATTGCTGTGGAACAATCATTCCTCTCGCAGAGGAAGGTTCAGTATAAATTTGAACTTACCCTCCAGGTCATCCTTGAAAATGTCTATCTTCCTGCCTTCGTCGTATGGAATAACTGTAATGTCAAACAGGGCAGTGTTATCCACTAAGAGAAGGTGTTGGGGCTTGTCAAGAAAGGCAGAGCCCAAGACTGTGCATTTGTTACATGCAGAATTATATACATTTCGTTACACATACAATGAAACATTGTCGGTTTTATTTTCATCTTTTTCTCTTCAGAGTAGTACGAAGGTGACTTCAGCAAAGGCACAACACGACAGTGTGTCGCAGTGATATTTGTGAGAACGGGGAGAACCTGGACAAGCTGCATTCAGTTACACCTGCAGCCTCTCGTGTACTTGAGGAAAAAACTGTGCTGGTTTTAGGACAAACCTGTCACTCTCTTGTCCTTGCAGGGCTCGTGTGTTGTAACTGGGTCGCTGGGTTTGGAAGGATGACTGATGCCCTCTTTATTGACAGCTTTTACTCGGAACTGGTACGTTTGTCCCTCAGCGAGGCCCAGGACAGGGTATCTGCAGGTTTTCACGGGCTTGTCGTTGCAGGGGAGCCAATCCTCTGACCCAGCGACACACCTGGAATGAAGCACAGCCCATGGAGTTCCTTTCCACAACCTGGTCCTGAGCTTTTTTTGCTCGAAGGTGATGAACAGACAGACCTTTCAATATAGTACCCCAGGATCGGACTTCCTCCGTTATCGCTGGGTGCCACCCAAGACAGAATCAAGCAGTCTCTGTTTACGTCGCGGCATTTCACGTTGAGTGGGGATCCAGGTGCACCAGCTGTTTCTGCTGCAGCATCTGTAGAAGCACCAAGAGGTAGCGATTAGGTTTTTTCCTTTTCCATACCAAAATTTCTATTCATTAGCTTTATTTTAAGTGTCTGAGGGCTTACATCCCAGTCATACAAGTCAGATTTTCTAATACCTAAATCACTACTGAAAAGAAGGTTTGGACATTTTCATAGTTGTATCCACGTGCAAAATTTGGAGATATTTTCTTGTGTAGGAGGTTGTGAATCCCTTTATGCCAAAGTATTAGGAAAGGAGCTTTTGTTCCAAGTCGAATAGAATCCTGCTTATACCTCTAACAAACACGTAAGTGGTCTGCTCTTTATATCCATCCAGTGAGGGGACGCGGATCGTGTAGAATCCCTCATCTTCTTTGTAAGCGCACGGCACTGTCAGAGAAGCCTCCCGGTCTTGGTACTTCAGTTCACAACGTTCAGAGTTCTGCAGCAACTCCCCTGTGAAGTGTGAGAAGGGGTAAAGGAACTTCACCTCGACTGGTTGAGTCAGGAGCGGCAAAGTTCCACAGGCAGAAAAAACCACTTTTGTCTGCGTGGTGCTCAGACCCAAGAAAGTGGAGTTGCCTGTACTGTGCGTTTTGTGCAGATCTGAGATACAATCTCTGCCCATATTCTCCTCAGATCACTAAAGTTCACTAGATCCTGCTGTTTTAATATTCATATAGGTGTGTGCATATATATATATATATATATGTAAACTTAGCAGTTGCATACAGACCATCTCTGAACCAGGTAATGTCTCGTTGGTGCTCAAGTAAATCAGAAGAGAAGTAGCAGGGTAGGGTGAAAGCCTCTTTTTCTCTTGAAAATAAGGGTTTCAGTGGAAAAGCAAAATCTGCCTCTCTGGCCATAAGGGATCCTATGAAAGAAGAGTAAAAGTCAGCACAGTAAAGAAACTCCCCAGGGCCTTCCTCCTTGTATTACTTAATTGTCGTATATCCGGCGTCGTGCCTGAGACTGGCGCTTTCCATGTGCAGTCAGGCTAACGGGAAAAGCTATAGCTCAGAAAAAGAGTATCAAATCACTTCAGGCTACAAAAATAAATAATAATAACAATCATTTACTCACTTCTGTATATTTCTGAATCAAATCCTGACTCCTTTCCGTAATATTCTGTAAGACAAGAGGAAAATACATTTAGCAAACCTCTTGCCAGTTTTTACCTTCCCCTCAATAACAAACAGTGATGCCCAGTAAACTAGGATTTTCCCTCAAACTGTCTCTTGAGGTGAACGTTCAAAGTGTCGTCATTGGTAAAACGTGAAATTATTTGACAGCTGATGACCTTCACAACCAACCGAGGGTGTGTCTGCATGGAAGTTGTTCCTCTGACTATACTAGGAGAAGTAATACTGCTTGAAGTGCTCACAGCTCCTCTTAGCTAAGGAGGGTTTTGTTTTTCAGTGTGGCTTCTCTCTTTTTAAGCTGCATTGGAAAAGCTGTGCTGCATAATAGCACGGGGAGCTACAGCTTTAGCCCTGTGAGTGCACCGATATCGTACTGTACGAATTAGAAGCGTGAGAATCTCGGATCACCCCTAAGTGAACTGCTTTAGTCACATCCCTCTTTGGAGACAGCCCATGACAGCTACTCGTCGCCACACCCAGCGCGGAAAAGAGAAAAGCCTTGGTGTCGCAAACGTGACTGGAAGTGGAGTTTGGCCAAACCCTTGGGTTAAGGCAGCACTCCCAGGGCACGATGTGGGACTCACAGTGCCTGGGACTTCAGGCTTTAACAGGGAGAAAGGATATCTGCCCTGAGACACCGAGGTAGTTCTAGAGCCAAGGGCAGCGTGTCGCCACCAAACGACTTGTTGCAACAGCCGTGGGTTCTCTGGAGGCGTCGTACGGGAATGCTGGCCCGCCTCGCCTCATCTGAACTGCTGGCATCACTGCACGAAATGCAGTCTAAGAACTGATGCACTTCACACAGGATGAAGTGACATACTTCCCTGTCTTATCTTTACAGACCACGAGAAACGCACCTAAAATGCCTGTTTGTTTCATGAGTGGAGCTTGGCAATGGCAGAGCTTGCTCAGAAGCGAAAGATGACGACTGAGGTTTAACAGCTGAAGAGGAAACAAACAGCACAAGAGCCAAAACTCAGCCTCGTCCCAAGTCCTCCGAGACTCTCAGAGATGTTTTTAGGGAAAATGAAGTTGTGCTGTAGGCACCACAGATCCCAGAGACCCTCCCCTGGCATCAAGGGCATTCCAGACAGCATGGGGCCGGGAGGGGAGATGCCATCGGCCTGCCTGGGGGATGAGGAATGTTCCAGTGGAGGCAGGATTAAGGCCTCGGTGCAGTCTCTATTTTCAGAATGTTAAATGCAAATAGCAAAAAGAAGAATCATGTTACCGGGGTGGCATTAGACTGGCTCAAGGGAGAAGGAACAGTGTGGGCCTCTCACCCACCATCACAGTGTTTGCAAACCAAAACGCTGATGAGAGCTGCTGAAGGGCGGGTTAATCAGGCACTTAGAAGTGACGAGAGCAGTCCCATCCGAGGTTTTCGGATCGACCGCAGGCCCTATTCTATCATCATGCCTGCTCTGATCCTGAAGATTGCGACAGGAATTGGGAGCAGTGTGTGATTATTACCATAGATTTTTTTTTTTCCCCAGGCAGCTGCTTCTCCTTTATGGCAAAGGCCCAGTTCTGGAGTTCTAGACATACTATAAGAATGTTAATGGAAGAGAAGCATTGCACACCTGGTGGCTTTGTCTGGTTTTCTGCCTTAGGGTAAAGGGAATTTAGGAGTCTAGGAAGGCTTGCGAATGAAGGTTTTCTGGGCTATTATAGATGTCCCTTAAGAACTGGTAAATGTGTGCTGCGTATATCTAGATATGCTGAGTTTTTAATTAATGGATCTACAAGATACCAGAAATAATACACTTCTCTTACAATTCTCAAGTCACATTCTTCTGTACGCAGACTTTCTTAAAGGACTAACAGTAAATCCACTGTCTAACAAAGGAGACCCCTTCTGTCAGAAGAAGTGGTTGAAGCTGGCTTTGCAATTCAGTCAGTCAGAGAAACCCCTCTCTTCGTCACCAGAAAGATATCCAAAGCAAACGTGTTCCCTTCCTACCCCTCTGGTACCGTTGGAATTACTCCCTGGGCTCTGCCAGTCCCACTGAAGCGTTTAGTTGTCTACAGTTCTGTAGGTCTATTCAGTTCAGGCTTTTCACGACAAAGTTGTTATTTTTTATATATATATGAAATGTGCACGGTTAAACTATGATCCTGTGGGACTGCACTGCATATTTCTTAAAGCTTGATATAATTTCCCTGTTTAAGTACCGATGATTTACTTCCTTCACCATATGTGTGGGTTTGCTTTGTGCAGAATGTGTGTCTACGGAGTCTAAGCCAGTTATTTTAAGAACAGCACAGATCGAAGAAGAAAATCACGCATTTGCTCTTGATAGTTCCTGATCTGGGAGAGAAATACGGTATTTTGCGCAATAGTGCACTGAGAGATCCCTTTGAAAGCCACAGCACTCGGTAACAACTTCTTGCTTATCTTCAGAAATGCAGCAGACGCTTTCGAAGCCTGTTACGTATTTACTGTGTGGCTGTTTCATATCAGTCCAGAAGAAATAAGTACCTAAATTTAGTACAACTTTAGCACGGTGGAAGGACAGCTGTGCCCGTATGGAATCGGAAAGATTTTGCCTGAGACCAGAAGTGGCTGGGAACGGGGAGCCATGACATCAGCCAGACACATGGCACTTGGTGGTAGCCAGGGATTATTTTAGCCAGTTGTGCTTTTCTCCTCACTAATGACTGAGAGAAATTGTTCTATTAACTGAATGCTCACTTCTTTCTCTATTTTTCCAGAGTGCTTGTATGTTCCTGTTGTATAATGTGTAGCATTGAAAATATTTTAAAGAATCAAAACTATTTGAAATTTGAAAACCAAAGGAACACTTTCTACTTACTCCTGACAAGAACTGTAGCAAAGGAATAAGCCTCGCCGTACTGGTTCTTAACTTCAACCCTGTACTCAGCAGAATCTTCTATGGAGCATCTGGAAAAAAAGCAACTTTCCCTCATTTTTAGCTTTTAGTTATGGTTCATACCTCACAGGACAGATTCAAAAGAGCTCCCTTTTAATCCCAGAAGTTAGAAGCAGATAATTGCTTCATCAAGAAGCTGCTTTTGCTTGTGGTTACCACAGTGTCTTACACTTGGGGCCAATTCTTTCTCTTGACACACAGAAGCAAAACATTTCAAGTAAAGAACAAGCCAAAGACCTGTGGAACTGATGGTTCCGCTGAAGTTAGGCGTGTATCTATCTCGTGTACCCTTCACAGAGCTGAACCAACACCGTTCTCATGGCACTGATCCATCCCAGATCCCACTGGTGTGTCTGCTTGTGCAGTGCTCTGCGTGTGTGTGGCCTTCCCTGAATGAGGAAGTTTTGGCCGTGCATAAAAAGAGAAGTCTACATTTTTAAAAGGATTTTTAAACCCCATGAACTGCTGTTGAGCTTGCTTCCCCATGGCAAAGGTTTAGCTCAGACACAACACACTGAAGTCAAGCAGGGTCAGATTTCAGCCTTTTCTTTTTTTTCTTTTCCTTGGCATACGCAAGCCGAGAGTTACAGGAGAGCAGGTCTTACTCAGGTGAAAAAAAGCAACTCCGACAAGAGCACACACGTTACCTGCTGATGTGCAGGGTCAGCATCCCAAACTTGTTTTGAATCTGATATTTTCCTGCTGGGGCTAGGCGAGGATCAATCCGGACTCCGTTTTTATACCTGGTTGAACGCAAAGCAAACACGCTGATTAGGAAAGGACAGAGAAATAGACTGGTAAAATTAACTATTTTAAAAGTAACCATGTCAAACGCGACAGAGGCACACCAGGAAGCAGGAGCAGACGCAATTCCCTCTTTTACAGATCTTCCACGTCAACCCAAACAAGCCTGAGAGTAAACCTTGATCCTCTCCCCTTGTCCTGCGCGTTCCCTCCCTTGGGCTGCCCACGGGCACCGGAGCCTTGGCTGGTGCTTCCTCCCCACTCGACGCTCCCTGCTTTGCAGGTTGTGTGAGGGAGCCTGAGCAGATGGCTCTTGCTTCTCTGTGCTCGCTGGGGATCTGTGGGAGGTTCATCCGCTCTTTGCTCTTTGAATAATTCAAAGAGGCTCTTCTGGAAGGACACAGGACATCAGGAGCTCTGACAGCAGCTGCCTACAAAGTCATTACTAATCCAAATGTTTGCATAGTTCAAACCCTCCATGGGAGGAATGGTCAATCATATGATCAAAGTCTACTTTCCAAATTGTTTTTTGAGGTGATCTTTCATTTATTTCCACCCCTCTTAAATGCTGCAGTCAGGCCCAGTACATAACACTTCCTCTCCTGTGGTTTGGTAAATATGCAGAGCTGAGTAAACGAAAGAGTTGGTTTGTGTTTTACAAATTGGAGGGACTTAAATCCCAACTTTGCCTGCAGGATTGAGGGCAGCACCAAGGGAAGGCGGGAAATCTGCAGGAATGTCGGTCCCATCCCAGCAGGAGCCCCGAAGGACTGTCCACTGCCTCCAGGGCCCGCTGAACACTGAATGCCTTTCCTGGTCCTAACAGTGCAGCTGGAGAATTGAAAGTGTTTTCTGTGATTTCTGAAGCAATCCCTTCCTTCCTTCTAGCAGGACACAGACGTTACTCCTCCAGCTGCTCCCTGAACCGCAGACAGGCCGTCACCCCCACGAGCAGCGGGAGCGACTGTTGGCCACGGACGTACCAAGCGACCTGCGGCGCCGGGGAAGCCAGGACTGTACAGGCCAGGGTCACGTCCATCCGCTCCCAGACTGCGTGTGCTCGGAGGGGGATCCAGAACATGGGTGGTCGCCCCGAACGCAGCTCTAGGTATTCCTTCTCCACGCGTGCCTTTTCTAGAGCCTGTGACAAGGACAGAGGAAATAAAGGCAATTGAAAGGGACTAGGATCTCGTTACACAAACGCGTTTACAAAAGGGACTTGTGTGATAACATTTCAGCAGCAGGAGCATAAGGCCTTGTCCTTGTTTCTGATGGTTTTGGGGTTGTCCTAACACCTGATCGGGTTTAGTATCCTCTCTGGAATGCTAGTTACTCCTGGAAATTTTAATCCTGTTGACATTTCTGCTACCGACAGAGATGTCTGAGCTGACCTTCCTCCGAAGGGCCTTCCGGTCAGCTCTGACACGCAGCAGTCTGCAGTTCCGAATAACCTCCTTTTCCAACTTTTCCATGTCATTCCCGAACCGAATTCTCTTTTGCCCCCTCTGTTCTAGCTCGAGGATGGCAGCTTCTCTTCTTATCTTGTAATCCCTGGAACACAGAATGATAAAGGCCACGTTAGGATAATGCTTTGCATTTTGGTTTCATCTTTTGGCTTTTGTTGTCGTAGCACGTATTTTTGGTTAAAGAATGGATGTTAAGGGCAGAAACATCGGCTTGTGTGCAGCGTGGGTGTGCAAGTCAGGCATTTGTGCCTCGTAGGAACCAGCAGTACTACCAGGAGAGATAATACTTTAACGACATGAAAAGGGGACCCACTATTTGACCGCTTTCAATCCTGGGCAGGGAGTTGGGAGAAGGATTAAAGGGAGGAGGGATGTTGCTAACTCCCTAGGCTGCTCAGCCCTCATCACAGAAGGATGGTCAGCAGAATCATTGCCAACATTTTCTAGGAAAGAAGAGGAATTCCATCTGTTAGCATTAATTTATTAATCTGCCTGTATTTTCTTTTTATTCCTATGAAATCTGGTTTCTCTTAGGCCCTTGCTTGTGAGCAGGGCAATATTATGATTATCACAGGTACCAAGGCACTGTTTTTCAGTTTCGTGCATTTTACTTGAGGTCTGGCACTTTTCTTTTTAAAGAAAACCTCTTCATTGAACCGGCTGGTTTTGCTTCTAACGAAATGAGTTGGAAGCTGTGACCCGTACCTACAAGGGCGATGCTGCACACGGTGGTTGTATTTGAGTGGTAGTGATTTGGGACTTACTGTGGGATTTCGGAGGTCAAGGCGAGGGCGGCTGCTATCGATAACTCTGAGGGGCTGAAAGTCTCTTCTTCCTCACTTCCAGAGGCAGACGCACATAAAAGAATCCAGACAAGGTTCCATAATTTTCATAAACTCAAAATTCAACCAATCTGTGAACGCTCAGTGCCGAGCGTAGAAAGTCCTGTCTGGCCCTGATTTCCTTGGCCTACCCCTAACTCCAGGGCTTACCTGGTTTTGAACTTTTTCTTCTTGGTTGTGGAGGTCATTTGCAAGCTCTGCTGCCTCTCCTCCTTCCGCTCCTCCTCTCTGTGGTGGAAGAAGGTTCGGGTTCCCATGCTGGGAAGTCAAAACCCAACTTCCTTGCTGGAATAGAAGAAAACATAAAGTGGCTGTCAAATAAGATGCCTTAACAGAACCTCGTTAAGTGATCATTAAGTCCTTGCTTTGGCGTTCAAGAGCTGTGAATGAAAGTTCTTATAATACTGTCTTCTTGCTTTCAAACTACGAAAGGGTCTGGTTTGTGATGCTGCTGTGAAAAATGGGACCAGATGAAGAAATTAGTAAATCTTTAGAGGCAGCTGAAGCTGTAAGAGAACAGTCAGTAGCAGCATTTGGTGAGTAGATTTGTTTTCCTGAGTCTGATCTTTGTTTCCCTAGGCCTGATGTTGTGCTCTAAATCTGGTGGATATTCTTGCAGGGAGTTCCATGAGATCAGACCCCCGATATAGCACACAGGCAAACGAGGGGCATCGGGAGATTGGAGGGACGTGGAAGATTAGGGACAAAATAAGTTATGGAAAAAATGGATTAGGAGATAAGGAGGAAGAGTTTAGAAAATAACCAGATTTTTAGTTTGGGACACTATATTGCAGGGGTAGCTGTGATGCCAAATAGCCTGTGACCTGCCACCCCGGCTGGGATTGCACCACGTCTGTCCCTGCCTGGATGTGCCAGGGGTAAGATAAGGCGACAAAACCAAACGCGCAGGCTGCTGCTGCGCAGAAACCGCTTGGTGTCTGCGGGAGTTGGAAAATCCGGGTGGATTTTCTGGAACTAACCAGTCGCAGTTGCCGAAGCAGAGCGCTTCTGCAGCCTGCGTCCCCGTTAGAGCTCAGTGCTTGAAGGGGACGATGCTTTATCCAGCCCTTTGAGTTGTCTTGAGGGATGACTTGTCCTTTCTTACATCTTAGGAAAAGGCTGGTAGATCGTGGAGAAAACATAATATCCTACCAAATACGAGCCATTAACAGCTTGATTTTCCCCAGAGTGAGCAGAGAGAGCCCTCTCCGGCAGGTGAACCCCGGGGAGCAAAATCAGCGCCCTTGGCCCCCGTCCACCTGCCCCATGAGCTGCTGAGGGACGAGGCTGTGGCTGGCGCCTCTCTGGGGGCGGGCC